TATATATATATATATATATATATATATCAGTGCTTCTTGTATCTTCCTGAATAAAGTTAGAGGTGCCATTTTTATATCCTATTATAGCACACATACAGTTATACCAAGTTAAACACAACATTAAATTGAGATAGTGTGGACAGAAAATAAATAGGTTTTCCACTTTAACTATGCAGGTATAAATAAACTCAGCAAAATTTGTGGGCATGAACAAGCCCACATGAACAGCTAGGTGTTTTCAGTTTGTCAACCTATTTTTTCTTCAAATTTGTCAGATCATATTCCAGAATTGCATAAATTCAAAACATTGATCTGCAATGATAAAAACTACCAAAATGAAATTCTATATAAGTATACTAAGACACAAAATTCTAATAAATACGTAGATAAACCCAGGTAAGGAAAGAGTGTCTATTATAGGCATCTCAGTTCAGTTTCACTCCTCGCACAGTAAAGAGTATTTTGACACCAGTATGACACACCATGAAGGATGTGGGGGGGTGGGGGGAGAAGCTAATTTTCTGGTGCTGAGGATCTTCCCTCTGAAAACCACCACTTTGGGTTATGCAAAAAAAAAAAAGAAAAGAAAAGAAAATCACTAGTTACTTAAGAAGATTTTGTCACAGTAGGCATCTTTTTCTCAGATAAAAGGATGAATCTTTTAGTCTTACACTAGATAAAAAAAGGGTTGAATCCAGCTTTTCTTTCTGAGGTGAGTAATCCTTATATCAGAAAGTAAGGAAGTGACTTAACATGACTATCTTACCAACTAAGGGTTTGTGGCATGCAAGCCCTGTATGCTCAGGCTGCCAGTGAACTCAAGATGAGCTTCATATGCAGGACAGTATCTGTGTTTAGCACAACAGGATTACTAGGATGAGCAAAGTGACTCAGATGCATCAGTGTTTAAAGGATCAGGCCCTCAGAGAGCAAGTATTAGCAGGCAGAAAATGATTTGCCAAAGAATTTGGTGCAATATGTATTCATATAAACAAGAGTCAATATTAAAAACAGCAAACAACAGCAAACTGGACATACAAAGTTAAACTGCTAGCATCATTCCCCTATCCCTTCTCCACATCTCTGTCCCACAGAACTACACAAGTGGTGCTCAAACTCTCCAGCCCCCAGGGCCAGATGACTGGTACAGGGACAATCTGCAGATCAGATTCTGCCCACAGGGTCCATCTGTGAGTTAGATCCAGCACAGGATCAGCTTGTAGGGTTAGTCTGAGGTTGTGATCTCGAGTGCTGGCATAACTCCATATGCCAGATCTGATCATGGCCTGACCTCACGCATTGGATCCAGCTGCAAAGTGACAGCAGGCTGGTGCAATCTGGTGTGCAGGACCATGCAGTCTGGACATTGGGGCTCCTGAAGGTTCCAGAAATTTGGCAGCAGGGAAGCTGTGGCGACATTAATTGCCATAACTCTCAAAGCAATTAATGCTGCTACTGCTCCCTAGATACCAAATTTCTGGGCCCATGGGGAGCCCCACAAGCCAAGTGTCATGGCTCTATAGGCTGAATATGGCTCCTGGGCTGGAGGCTGAGCATCACGAAACTACACAGATAATCTTAATACACAGAGAGATGTTTCTTTTTAAACTTCAGAGGGTTGCATAACAAAACATCAACCTGGAAACCAATAAATAAGGATATTAGATTACTGGATGGGCAGGACAGGGGAAGATCTAGTAGGACCAAGTGACCACAGATCTATGAGAAATTTAGAGACAAAATGCAGGAGAAAGGCAGTGTAGCCAAGGGGAGAGAGAACTTAACTGGTCTCGAGGAGACTTTGGTGCATGCATCTCTTCTCCTGCTTACATTGTCAATATTACATTCTATGACTCTCTGTGTTGCCATCCTTACTCTACTATAAAAAGTGCCTCATTCAGTTTACTTTTTCTTGCTTGGGAAGGAAGCCAAGTCCAAAAAACACAGTCCTTACATCCCTTCCCAATCAACATAAAGTAACCTGAAAGAGGCATTTTTATAGTAGTATAAGACTGTCTGCATCTTAAAAAAAGAAAGAAAGAGCTTGCTCCAAAAATACTCAGACTGACTTTAGCGGGCTTCACATCAGCCCCTCATTTTCTAGTTAACTTTATTTTCCCCCTCTCCTGTCCCTAAGCAGGCTGGTTAGAAGAGTCAGAAGCACTTTTACCACCCAAGCTCAGATAAGCACTGCTCCATGGACTTGCCCCAAGAAATTAAACAACCCCCTGCCCCTCCCCAGCCAGTCTGCCATCACAGCTGCTTTGGGAAAACATAAATTACACCGTGCACAAACCCAAGAAAACTGACCTGCAGCAAACATGGTTAAAGGAGGAAGTTGCCCAGAAATTGCCATGTGGAAGTTACTTTGCCATAAAGAAAGTTACAACCAAGCATATTTATTTAAAATAGCAAATATTCAGATGCCCAGAGTGGTAACAGAACCATTTATTGCTGTTATATTGAGAGTCAGTAGAAAGAGAATTGTATAGAGGCACTCCCCGGCCTGCTAGCTTTGGGACCCAAAGGAAATGCAATCTAATGAATCAATGTGCATTTGCTAGAACGCGTTCACAATTTGCCTCTTCCTGGATACCTGGGGAGGAAAAGCTCTTGGTGTATTCATAGTTGTCAGTCTCTGCACAGTCCTGCTGGGTACGGCAGCACCCCAGCTAAGACTCCCCACAGAGCAGCGGCCAAGCTCAGGACAGGTCCTTCGCATTAAGCAAACTCCTAGTCTGGCTAATGGCAGGGGCCATCATTGTCCAGTCTTGTTCCCCTGGTAGAGAAACTTACAGAGTCACATGTAGAGACATTTGAATGCTGATGCTCTGAATAGCAGAGACTTTGCAATGCTGACACTGTACAGCCAGGAGCTCTTCCTGTGCATACATCTCAGCATGCTCTGCAGGCTCCCTTTTCCTGCCTGGTGACAGATGGTAGCAGTGCATAGG